CCCCCCCCAGCACCACACCCCGCACCGCCAGAGTGCCCCCCCCCACGGAATGCCACGCCCTGCTGCCACCCACCACTCCAAGATTGGCCGCCCCTTACCAGGTGCCGCCCCAAGCATGTGCTTGGTTGCCTGGTGCCTGGAGCCGGCCCTGGTTAGAAGTGCCATGCTTGTTGCTTTTATTTCTAATGGGACAGCCTGTCATGCTGTTCTGTGGTTATTTTTCAGGATACTTAAGAGATTTAAAATTACTTCCTACACTCTGGGTTTTTTTGGTACATTAAATATTTCATATTTTACTGCTGTAATGCAGTGACTAAGATTCAGGTTATTTTACTGTTGAGGCACTGTGGTGATGCGGTACAAGCAGAGGAGTGGGAATCAGCAGATTCAAAGTTCCAATTCCAGCTCTGCTACTGACTTATTGTATGAACAGCTTCACCTTTCTTTTTTCCCCCTATCTGGAGAATAACAATCACTTACCGCTCTTACAGGATGTCAGGTGGATTGATTAGTTAAGAAGCTAGATCCTCAGTAGAACCTCATGGAGCTGTGCTGATTCACACCCATTGGGGATCTAGCCCAGTGTTTGTACAATACTTTGAAAGTGTTTTCTACTGTATAAGTGCTAATGTACAATAAAAATTCATCTAATAACAAATCCTTAATTACCAAGTAGATCTGAGCAACAATTTAAAAACCAAGTGCAGAGTGTGTGTGTGAGTGAGAGAGAGAGTACTTATAGGTGTGGAGGGAAAAAGGAGGGGGGAATGCTAAGGGGGGGGAATTTACATTGGTGGACAATCTAAAGAAAATGGCAAGTAAAATAACAAAAAGATTGTACCCAGGGTGAAAAATACATTGTTGCCCATTAAAGAATTGCTGCTAGTGAACAGATGAAATTTTTTAAGTGTGCAAAAGCAGCACCATTTCTTTCATCTCTGTTTTTATTCCACATCACTTAGGTTCACACTGAACTTTTCTGCTGTAACATTCATTGATCAACTGCTGCATTGTTGAAGGCTCTCTCACAATAGACTTCTGTTGACTCATGTCAGAAGTGTGTTTATTTAATATCTTATTTGTTCTGCTTCTTTCCTCCTCTTCAGGTGTCAATTTTGGAAGGACTGAATACTGACTAATGAAAGGAGCTAGAGAAACTCATTGCTACTAATTCACTGCAATCATAATTATCACCCTAACAGATACTGGAAGCTGCACCAGCTGTCCCATGCAGTAGAACTCTGGATTAGCTTCTCTGCTGTCAATGGTGAGTCAGTGGCAGAATCACTGGTTGATTTCCCCCCCCTCCCTCAATCTTTACTGATGTATTGAAATTTTGAGTCATAAATATTCAGTATTCTCCACACCTTATGAATAAAATTAAACACAAAAGCTGTGGAGGAGAAAACCTTAAGAATTGTGGAAGACCCTGAAAGTTTCCTTTCAGGATGGAGTCACCTATTTCTTCCCCACATCACCTTTGGTAGGAATTGCTTCCCCATCCTCACAAAGTTATGTAACATGTTTGTGATCAAACAATTTGATAAAATTGTTTTTCTGTATACACGGGTTATAACACCCTCCCTCCCCAATAGTTTATAACCATGTTTAAACCCTGGTGTCAATGAGTAAGCCATGCTAGAACACACTTCGCCATAACTGTTATTTTGTAGGGTAGGCAGGGTCTTAAAATCAACACCCTTCTAAATAGCTCTTTAAAAATAGTTTGAGGAAGTCACATTCCCTGCTGCTGCCGCATCCATGCCCTCCACGTACAGTTGTAGGCCTCTGTGCTGCCCAAGTTGTTATGGTATGACATTACAGACCCAGCCACCAGTCTTTTTTCCTCTCTTGAAATGTTGTTGCCATCATCAACTATCAGCTCTTGCTTTTGACCCACAAGCCTGGGCCAAATCTGTTCTCTGATCAGTGTAAATCTGGAGACACTCCCATGACGTCAGTTGAGTTACTCCAGATTTTCATCAGTGCAAGAGAGAGGAGAAGATGTCTCAAGGACTCTCACTAAAGTTTGAATAGCTTAATCTCTTTCCTTTCCTCACTCCTGTGGTTGTTTGTTTTTTGTTTTTGTTAGGAGAGACTGAATGGTTGCACGGGAATAGAGCAGGGAACAGAAGTTGTTGGCAGCATTGCAAAAATATTTTGTTTCTACTTGGCATTTTATCAAGGGACAGAGCAGGAAAACCAGGTATAGAGCAAAGAGTAACAAAGCAAAAACCAGCAATTATAAACTGATGCAAACCTTGTAAGTGATATGGACTCTGTTCTCAAGATCGAAAGAGTGGTTCTGCTTGGCCGTTATGGTTTTATCTCCATTTCTAAATGTATCCAGCACCTAAGAGCCCTGGAGAGGTCAGGTGACTATTTAACTGGGATTCATTTAAAGAGGTAGAGTAACTGCAGTTGAAATTGGGTTCATCTGAAAGTAGGTAGGCAAAATAAACTTCTAAATGTTGCAACAAAGCCAATTAACAGCCGCATGTAAAGATCATAATGTACTGATTTAAAATGGCTTTACCTGCCCACTCTGTGACCAGTGTTTGATACCACGGTGATGAAAACTGGATGGATGGCAGTAGTTTAATATGCAACTAAAATCTTGCCTCTGTGTTAGACATATCTAAAGTTTTAAACTAGGAATTCAAAGTGCCTATGTTGTGAGGTGGGGTAGGGAAGAAATAACAGTAAAAACATAGCTACTGTCCTCCTGGCCTAGCTGGGCTGGATGCTACTCCAGACAGAGTAAATGGAAGGCAGAGGACCAGTAATTCTGGGTAAAGGAGCCCTGATTTCTGAAATACGCCAACGCTAGATTTTGCAACAAAAACAGAACATTTGGTGACAATAGAAAATGCCAAAAGGGCAGTGGGGAGGTTAATAAACTACTGATACAATCAAAACCTCTGCTTTTAAATGTTTTAACATTTATTTTATGTGGCCACAACCATTTGGTGGGGATAAGAGAGAGTTGCAATTTAGGTGGTCAGGTGGGGTTTGGCAGGTAGGAGAGGGAGTCAGTCCATTGGCTGAGTTTTCGAGGCCTTACACTCAACTTGATGATGTTTCTCTGTTTGGATGTAATGTAATAACATTTGTACATCACAGCAAATTAATTCAAAAATTTAAGGGAATATTTTAGGCATCAGTGGCCAGAACACTACTGATTTGGGGGGAAATTGGGGGAAAACTAAAGGTGGCAATAGAGGACACACAGAACCCTAGCATCTACTTAGCAGAGCTACCGGTTTCAACGAGATTTGTAACTGTTAGTTGGTCACAGTTGTTAACACCTTTCAGCATAATATCCTTCATCTTAGAAGGGAACAGGGTGGGTGGCACACCAGGAGCTTGGAGTATGTGAAAGAATGCAAGGAGCCCTTGGTGTGTGCAATGAGCTTGGCCTACAGAAGGTACAAAGTTTATGATTCTTCCCCCTCTCCTCCTAGCAGTTTTGGGGTAATGGCAACTCGGTATCTTTGGTCCCATGAGAGAGTTAGGCAGGAGCTTTAGTCAACTTGGAATGAGGATCTTTCTGTCTTATTCCCCCTTTATGGCTTTTGAAGTCTTCTCTATCCCTGCCTCTGTTACTCAGGATAGTGGTAGTGATGTGCTAACATGCTTGTTTGTATTTTTGGGGAGAGGTTGCAGGGTGATCATACTCCCAGCACTACCTGTGTCTTGGGGGAATGAATAGAATAGCAGGGTGCCAGCCACCACACCACCTCTAGTCCCACCACCCCAGTATGGCTTTCAACGCCTAAGAGAGCAGTATTCTGCAGGGTCCCCAACTAGCAAATTCCAGTCCAAACCCTCTCTAAACACCCCCACTCTTTTCAGTCTCTTTATGGTATGAAAGTCATTCTATCCCTTTAATCATTTTTGTCACCCATTTCTAGTTCAGTTTTTTTTCTGCTACAGAAATGGGACCAGAACTGAAGACAATATTCTAGATGCCAGACATATAATGGCATAATATTTTTAGGATTACTTTGTCTCCTTTTTATACATCATAATAGTGGGTGGTGGGAGGAGTTTGTGCAAAGCTTTGATCGGGCTGCACTAAATTGCGCATCATTAGTACTTACATTTTAAAAACTCCTACACTAAATGAGGAAATGATTGCTACAGTTTCTTATCATGGAAGCAAATTATCTATTACCCCAAACACTAAACCCTAGAAATGTCAGTGTGTTGTCTCCCTACTTGGAAGATAACCAAGAGATTCAGTTGCAGGTGGGATAGATATTGCACTGTTTAATCTCTGTTCTAACATTTATCAAGTAATTACCTCCAGAGAACAAGCATTATACCGCTGTGTTCTTCAGATGACCACAGTACATTATTACCAAAAGAGAAATAACTTTGTTTATGATGGAGGCTATAGCTAGACAATGATGAATATGACTATGCATTTTTTGCAGTGGAAAATAGAAGAGATGGTAGTGGTTTCTTTACAGTGGAAACCTCACTATGCCCATATTCCAGTGTAATGTGTTGATGGGTAATGAAGGAAGACATTTATATGCTGCTTTGCTTTGTTGTGAGACTATTGTGTGAGTGTTAACTAAGCAAAAAATGTGTACAATTGGAATGACTATGAGTCAGGAGGTTAAGTTGCCTTGCTGACACAGAGTTGATTATCAAACTTTCTGGTGTCATTAGCTATTTATCTATACAGCATTACAAGTGAGTTTGTCATATTGAAGAACAATAAAGATAGGTCCCTAGCTTGAAATACTTGTGTAATTTAGAAAACACCCCCACCAACCACTACCACACTCGATTTATTATCAGATGATGGGGCAGTTGCATTACTTATAGCTGCCATAATCAGCAAGGTATGTATATTCTAAATTGAGCTTCAGCACATCTGGTAGGCTAAATTCACACAGGTCTGCACCAGTTTCTGCTTGGCAGAAGTGCCCTGATGAGCAGAAGGTCTTTCTGAGAAAGGAGTTATAGAGGTATAAGTATCTATAACTTCCTCCTTTATTACAAAGACCACATTAGCATTGCTTCCAAAATAAACAGTACTGGTGGGGAGGCAAGAGTGGCTAGGATGTGCTGATTTAGCACACCCCTCAGCAGCCTCTACTAACAGGACTTCGAGGAAGGGCCCATGCAAACTTACACTTTCTCATTGGCAAGTCTTATGGTCTGGTTTCAATAATTTCTTCAGTTAGTGAAGATAGCCCTAGCAAAGCACCTGCTTAAATGTTTTGCTGAATTGGAACAAATGTGTATGCAAAAGGATTAATACATTTATTGGCAAAGAAAATGTACGACCTTCTGTCCTGGCCAGAGATGGCTCTTGCAACCACTAAGGTTTTACCTTTAAAACTCTTATTTAGTCCGTTTTTTGAAATATAATTTCAATTCTACACTCATTTGAGCAAGCAATGAGCAATTTTGAATAAATATAAAAAGAAAATAAGGATGGCCCAGTGGTTAGAGTTCTAGCCTGGATTAAATTTCCAGCTCCACCAGACTTCCTGTAACTCTGGGCAGGTTCCTTCGTGTATGTCTGCACGACAAAGAAAAACCCATGGTACCGAGTCTTGGAGCCCTGGTGAATTGACTGGGGCTTGCAGGGCTAGGGCTGCAGGGCTAAAAATAGCAGTGCAGACATTCCCACCCATGCTCCAAGACCCTCCCCCTTTACCAGTTTTCAGAGGCTGGGTTCCAAACCAAGCAGGAATGTCTACATTGCTTTTTTTTATCTCCACAGCCTGAGTTCAAGCCAATTGACCTGGGATCTGAGACTTGGTACCATGGATTTTTCTTTGCAGTGTACACATACTCCGAGTCTTTCAGTGCATCAGTTCCCCATCTGTAAAATGGGAATAACAGTATTTCCCTACCACAGAGAATGTTGAGAGGATAAGTATATTAAAGATTGGGAGGTACTCAGATACTACAGTAATGGGGCTATGCAAGTGCCCTAGATAGATAGATGGTATAAGCATACTATCATTTGGATCTTTAGATACAGTATAGTACTTTAGAAGCTTATTTTACTGATGTAGTCTCTCAAAAAGGGTAGGCTTTTCTTTTAAACTGTTCTTCAGGATACATCTTGCATCTTTCTAAGTCTTGTGGAGTAAGATGTAGAAGTATTCCCCCTCCCCCCAATTCCTTACTTAAAGGTGTCTATACAAACAGTTTCTCAAGTATCAAATGAAGAAAGTATTAATAGTTATAACATCTTTGGTTCTAGGTTTCTAGCCAGTGTAGTTGTTGAAATAACACCAACTAATTGAAGAATGTTTACAGTGAGAAGTGAAATATTTGCAGTTAAAAAAATAAGCAACTTAGAAAACAAAGAAAAAAACGCACAAGTTTGTGCTAATTATTAAGGATAAGAACAAGAAGTTTTCACCTCTAAATAAAGGCATTAGTTGACAGTAAACACTAATACATTTTACAAATATTTCCTCATTTTTAATACTCTGCTTAAAAATATTTAACTCTTAGAGTTTGTATAGAAGTAATTGTTTAATCAACTTTTTCCTAGACTTTTAAACTCACATTGAAGTTGGGGAAAACATCTTTTCCAGAGAAATTGAGGGAGGATTTGTTGAGAAGACCTAATATTATGGCTAAATGTAAGTCTTAGAACAAACAGAGTTTGTTCAACTTAAACCAATATATCTTCTTCCTTTAAAAAGAACTGAGTTAGGTCAATCTGCCATGATACTTTTTCTTGAGACAAAAGGTACACCTACATTAAGAGTTACATGCTGATATAATCTCTCTCTCGAGCAGATTTATTTCACCATGACCAGATTCTGGCACCCTTACTATGCAATTAAAGCAAGCATAACATTTTACATAAAGCATCATGCTCATAATAAGTAAACCATTAAATATATCCCTTCATAATACCACATTAGAACATACACATTAAACATTTCTAAAGCAAGAACAACTTTGGCTCTGTATAAAAAAATTAAGATATAAAACTTCATTAACAGGATCTAACATTGCTTCGTTACTATTCCTGACGTAAATCAAATATAAGCATGGAACAGTTTCAGAGAGACCCTGCCTGGATTTGAGGCTTTTCTAAAAGCAGATGACTTTTTCCCCCTTTTTTAAAAAATTGAAAACAAAATGACAACTGACATAATATATAGGAAATAAGCAGCATCTAGGGACTTGTAAAAAAAGTATTTGAAAATCAAGACATCTGCTGTGTGAGTTTGGACAAATCATCTGACTTTTGTGCCTCAGTTTCTCTATCTAAGAAGTGGGATAATAGTTCACTGAGTATCGTCTTAGACCCCAATCTTGCAAGTTTTTCTGGATGGGCAAAACCTTGTGCCTACATGTACCTTTGGAGCATCTCTGTTCTCTTTTAGTCCAGAAATTGAGTCCACAAAGGAAACTTAGGTCAGATACCATAGTAGTGACGACTGATCTCAGGAGGCCCTGGGGATAGCATATCTCAAAACTAAATAAGATACAACATATGTAAGTGCCTTCATTTTTGGGTGCCCAATATGAAACACCTTAAAGGGGCCTAATTTTCAGAGGGTGGATGCTCAGCACTTACTGAAATTCAGGGCTCTTTAAGGTGTCAAGTTGGGAACTGCAAAAGTGAGGTACCCAAAATACAATTTCACTTTTAAAAATCTTAGATTGTACTTAGATTTTCAGAAAGCCTTTGACAAGATCCCTCACAAAAGGCTCTGAAGCAAAGTAAGCAGTCATGGAATAAGAGGGAAGGTCCTCTCAGGAAACAAAGGGTAGGAATAAATGGTCTGTTCTCAGAATGGAGAGAGGTAAATAGTGGTGTCCCCCCAGGAGTCTGTACTGGGACCAGTCCTATTTATCATTTATAAATGATCTGCAAAAAGGGGTAAACAGTGAGGTGGCAAAATTTGCAGCCTATACAAAACTACTCAAGATAGTGAAGCCCCAGGCAGACTGCGAAGAGTTACAAAAGGATCTCACAAAACGGCAGATGAAATTCAATTTTGATAATGCAAAGTAACGCACATTGGAAAACATAATCCCAACTATGCATATAAAGGGATGGGGTCTAAATTAGCTGTTACCACTCAAGAAAGAGATCTTGAAGTCCTTGTGAATAGTTCTCTTGAAACATCCACTCACTGTGCAGTGGCAGTCAAAAAAGCAAACAGAAGGTTGGGATTTATTAAGATAGATAAGAAGATAGAAAATATCATATTGCCTCTATATAAATTCATGGTATGCCCACATCTTGAATACTTTGTGCAGATGTGACCCAGGATGGCTGTTCTTATGTTCTTAATCTTGGCCTTCATTCTTAGAATCAGAACTTTGGTTTAATAAGTGTTTGCGTCTGTAGATTGGTCATGACTCCACATGGGCACAGAAGTCTACTTGCATGATTGGGCCATAAGACTGAAACCAGGGCTGGCTCCAGGCACCAGCTTGCCAAGCAGGTGCTTGGGGCGGCACATCCAGCTATTCGGCGGCAATTCGGCGGACGGTCCCTCACTCCCACTTGGAGCGAAGGGCCTTCCGCTGAATTGCCGCTGCAGATCACGATCGCGGTTTTTTTTTTTTTTTTTTTTGTTCCGCTTGGGGCGGCAAAAGCCCGGGAGCCGGCCCTGACTGAAATAGATAGTTCTACTACACTGAATTCAACTTTACCTTCAAGAACTTTTATAAGCATCCACAGTGATTCCCTGGGCAATTTGCAGAGCATCATGTATAGGCTCTAGAGCAGTACTTTCAACCCATGGGCCACTTGTGGTCCAATCAGCACACAGTTGTGGCCCATGTGACATCCTAAGGACCATAGAGGTAGAATTATAGAATATCAGGGTTGGAAGGGACCTCAGGAGGTCATCTAGCCCAACCCTCTGCTCAAAGCAGGATCAATCCCCAACTAAATCATCCCAGCCAGGGCTTCGTCAAACCTGACCTTAAAAACCTTTAAGAAAAGAGATCCCACCACCTCCCATTCCAGTGCTTTACCACCCCCCCAGTGAAAAAGTTTTTCCTAATATCCAACTCAAACCTCCCCCACTGCAACTTGAGACCATTACTCCTTGTTTTGTCATCTGGTACCGCTGAGTATATATATTGTGTGGATGTGGCCCACATAACCCAGAGAGAGCTGCATACGCGGCCCATAATGGTAAATAGATTGAGAACCACTGCTCTAGAGGGAGTGACAGCCAGACTTCCATAATTATTGCAATGCAATAGCTTTAACGGGGAGTAAAAGAAAAAAAGCAGGGAGATCTTGTGAGCTCAGGGGCATGCCCTGGAGAGAAAAGAATTAATTTTCATACTAGGTATGATTCTTAAGGATGATCATTTTAAGTGACTGTAAAGTCCTTTGAAGATGAAAAATGCTGCATCACTGCTGTGACAGTGTTGGATACAATCCAGACCAGTGAGGCATTGTGTTACCACTTGCCCTGCAAGCCTGGGTGCTTAGCAACGCTTTGCTGCTGTAGCTCACAGCTAGTCAACAAGCATACAAGTCACACAGTATGTGTGTGCTAGACAGCCCTGGTTCAGCAGTTCTGACCCCAGCTGCCTGTTTACACCCCCACTGAGGCTTCTACTAGCCTTGGTTATAACCAGCAAGGTGACCCCCAACATACTCCCAGTCTTGAATTTCCCCAAAACTGTGTGCTCTGTAATGTCCTGCCCCGTCCTGGGCAGTTCGGAGAAGTGATATGGTCTGTTTGTTCCTCTAAAGACACACAAGCACATCACAGCTTATTGACTTAACTGGGGTAAATACACCCTTTCATTTAAGTACAGAACGGAGTTGGCTTATAGTAAAAATAAAACAAATTTATTACCAATAGGACTTAGGTTAAGTGATCTCAAGAAAGGAGAATAACGTTAGAAATGGTTACAAGCAAATAAAAGTGAAAACATGCATATAAAACTTAATTTAGCAAGGTACAGGCATTGTTTAAAATGGTTTCTCACTTACCTTCAGTTTTCAGAGACTTTGACCTGTCCTTTGTTGAAGGACCCATCTTTCTCAGCTTACAAGAGCTGTTTCCTTGTGATTGTCTAGTAATGGGTGCCAAAGATGGCTTCTGTCTTTGCTTGTATTTTGCAAAGTTCATTGACTTTGTTTCAAGAGGCAGGATGACCTCATGCTGGTCTTCCCATCCCCTTGTATTTAAATAGGGCTTCCATTGTTTTGATTGCACCATGCTTAATTTCCACAGCAGACCTATCAATAGCTAGCTTCCCTCCTCTCTGGGAGGAAAGCTGTTCCTCCCTATGTGGCCACAGACTTTAAAACACAATATAATTAAGTATCCATATTACCTCATATAATGTTTGGTATAATTGTGAAATGTATGTATAATCAGCAGTGGATCATTAGCTTTCAGAAAAGACCTGATTCTATGTACTCTTATAATACAGTAATATTGTATTATCACTTGAGGTTCAGAGCAGTAGACCAGCAAATCTTTGAAATGGATTCTTCTGAGAGTACCCCTCAAAGTAAAGTTTATTCAAGCTGTCAGGAAGGTGGCATGGAGTCTGGTGGTGAAGGAAGCTCCATGCTCTTTCTCCTTGCATTTGCTGAAATGCAAACTTTTCAGTTTCCTGCCATCTCTCCTTGCTGTCTTGATGATCCTGATTATTGCTAATTTGAAAATTGAGATAAACACACATTCCTCTGTGTAGGACAGACCTGTTGAACCATTACTTAGACATACCCGCTTTAGACACACTTTAGTCATAATTCCAGCATATATTCATAACTCTTAATACCCACCACATACATACATCATGAAAGAAAATTATTAGTGAATTAGTTTTCCAATGATACCTAACCAGGCATATTTTGCACAAAGAGTATTACAACAGTGTGCAGGGTGTGAATACAGGATTGCCTACTGTCACAACTGTCTAGTATAGCTAGGAGAAAAACAGGCTCTTATCAAGGGTAACCCTTCAAGGCCACACAACTCCCATTGATTTCAAAATCCTATAAACAGTTATTTTTGTGTAGTGCTTGACTTCAGTGAGATTTGGGAATGCTCTCGATCAGATCCTTGATATCTATTATAGATAAATCCTGATACATCTATACCATTTATCATCTTAGCATCTGACACTACAAAGACAATCAGGCACAGTGCTTACTAAAGTGGATCATCCCACTAATTTCAATGGGTTACTCACAGCACTACGCGCTAGGCCCAGTAGTAAGGGTTTGCAGATTGGGCCTTAAATATCATATCCAGTCTGATTATTACAGAATAGCACTTCCAGTTAGTGTGTCTGTGACTGAGTTTTATTTATTTATTTAATAATTATGTGATTCCACTCTGCCAAACAAATAAATATAATTAAATAAGGCTCACTAGTATTATGCAGCTGTTCTGGTGCATCTAGTTTTAGTTTTTCCACTATTAATCTGATAAACCATTTCACTCAGTCTCAGATGCTTACTTTTATCTTCATTGGCACAACTAATGTTTTTCAGGCTAATTAATTCACTTTCCATACTTGGATATATGCCGTCCAAAAAAAGGGGGGGGAGTGCAGGGGGAGAAAGAAGGGAGAAGTGGGACACCTTTGTTCTGTCTGCAGAAAGTGTGGTTAATTATTAAAACAAAACCCAACTTTTTAAATTTACTTTCTACTATTCTGAAAAGCAGAGGTGTCTATTTTTTCAAGATGTTTTAATACTTTTGAGACAGCAGAGGCCTCAAAGTCCATTTGTTATATTGAGCAAAATATACAGTAATCCAAATGGTCTCAGAAACAATCCTCTTCCTAGTGAATTAGCAGATTTTGAATACATTCTTCCCACCCCTTCCTCCCCTTCCCAAAAGACCCTTGCTGTGCAAGGCACTGCATCTAGTAATAGACTGCACCACTTCTGTTACATTCAGGGCCTTCTTCAGCCTGTAGTTGGTCTGCAGGGTTCAACTTTATGATTACAGCCCTATTCAGTTCATAAGACTCGTAATTCACTACAATGGGAATTTCACCTGAGAAAGGAGTGCTTAACTTGTCCCTTAACCCTGCTGTTTTTAGCAAATGGAGCAAACAACATCCAATCATATCTGTAATATGTGGACTAAATTTGGAACACTGGTGTCCAAGTTTGACTTGCAAAATATTTATGTGCAAACAGGTAATCTTGTGCACAAAACATACAAGTGTATTATCTGTCACAACATGCAGTGGTGTCATAGGTCCATATGCAAGGCCTGGGGAGGAAGTCAGAAGGCTCCAGTTTCCAGCCATTTCATACTCCTCTTTAATTCTTTCTGCTATCACTGCTCCTGAACGAAGCCCTGAGCCAAGTGTGCTTCTCTACCCAAACAGGATGATATTGATTATCTCTTGGAGGAAATGATCAGCAAGGACATCCCTTGAAATGGCTTAGCCTTAAACCCTGAGCCATTAATCATTTTATGGAAGTCTGCGAAGCCACTAGATCTGCCTACAATGGTGCAACTAAAAGCCTGGAAAAATGCATACATTTATGTATGATTTTAATGCAAAATTTAAAGGGCCAATTACCCCCAGATAAATTTATAACTCTTCCTGCCATTCTGTCATTTCTCCCCTTTCCCCTCCCTCCTCTACGAGTCAGTGTTTCCTTTCTCATTAATTCTTTCCTTCCCCGGTGTGTTGGGGCTTGTGTACGCTACCGGCCGGATTGACGGGCAGTGATCAATCCAGCAGGGGTTGATCAATCGACCGCAGATCACTTTAGCGTCAACTCTGGTACTCCACCTCAATGAGAAGCGCAAGAGGAATCGACGGGAGAGCGTCTCCTGTTGACACACCACGGTAAGTAGATCTAAGTACGTCGACTTCAGCTACGTTATTCACGTAGTTGAAGTTGCATAACTTAGATCCATTTCCCTCCCCCGGTAATGTAGACTAGCCCTTAGTTTCCCAAATTCCCCCTAAGTCTCTTTCCTCTCCCTCAGCCCTTCATTTCTCCCTCTATCCCCTCCCCCATCCATCCATGCTTCCAGTTCTCCTCCTGCCTTCCCAATAACCTCTCACACAGACTGGGCTGTGCTCCCTGCTCAGAAGTTGTGGTATAAGTGATAAAGTGACTCTCTCACCCTACTCCCCTCTCTCCTTCCCCTCCTGGCTTAGTTATCAGTGTTCCCTGCCCTGAACTCCTCCCTTACCCCCTCTGTGAGAGGTCTCATGGTGGGGGGTACAAGATTAGCTGCCTGTTGGCTAAACATAGCAGCTGGCCAAAAAATGTGGCTGCAGCAGAGACAACCAGGGAATCAAAAGGCCGATTGCAAAATTTGAGCACCCAGCTAAAAATTGGCAATTGAACCAGTCTGTGTTTCACCTAGGTAGGTTTTACAAGGAAACCTGGGACATCCTTGCTTAAGGGGACCCCATGGCTTCTGCTCATGAAGCTGGGGGCTGAGGCAGAATGCTAGGGTTACCATTCGTCCGGATTTACCCGGACATGTCCTCCTTTTTGTGCTAAAAATAGCGTCCGGGGGGAATT